GTGTTATTTAGTTCTATTTTTGAGGGTGTCACTCAAAACCATCATAAAATAAAGTAAATGAACTAAAATGAAATYAAATTTAAATTAACAATATATTTTATGCATGGTGGTGATTAGTCAGAATGTCTTTGCAAGACCTGCTCTCATTGGCTGTTATGAGTCACATGACCTTTACGCTCCAAATTCAAACCAGAGCTGTAAACAAGCTAGGGCTAGTTGTTTTACAAATGTGAGCCATAAATGCAAAATAGAAATAGCAAAACAAATGTCAATTTCAAAAATTTTTTTAAAACCAAGAGTGGATGAAGACTTGGTGACTGACAGCATCGCAAATATTACGGCAGAGCATTGAATCCGCACCAGCACCTTCAGAATTTAGGCCGCCCAACAGGCCGTCATCATTGACTGATAGCGGGAGGGGGACCTGCCCAGATCCTGCACCTGCTGGAGGATGTTACCCTGAAGAAATTGCCATAATGCCACCACCAGATTTATCTGCGATTGATGAYCCAGATACACGTGACGTCTTTAATAAGTGACTGTCAACACAGAGGAAGTTATGAGCTTTATTTATTAAATAGCGGATGTGAAGAAGTGGCTGAGCTTCATTTTAGAGTTTTTGCCGRGGAGTTGTGGACTTTTATTTTAGAATTATGAAGTCCTCTCCTTCATAGTTCAGCTCTGATGACTGTAACARGTTTTTGTTTGMTTGGTYAGTGATCCTAAAAGACACGCTGCCCCTTACTTCTTCTTGTGGTGTCCTCCTGCAGCACAACAGCTGACATTGTTCCAKAAATWACGCGCAGCTTTACGTGAACACGTTTACATCTTGTGGAGCTGAGGATTCATCAGCTGAGCTGTTCTGACTTAATCTGCTGAGCTGACGTGTTTTTTCTTCAGTGAGATTAAAAATGTCGACAATTCACCCACATTTTATTCTTCTCAGCAGTGTGCGCATAGCAGGAGTGCGCTGCGCACACTGATGCGTGTTTATGTCAACACGTTCTTCTCAATGACAAAATATAAGAAATTTCACAGGGAGAGGTCGTTCATYTGTTAGGCTTATTCGGCTTATTCTGTTTGTTGTCTGCAGTTAAATGTGGTTCATTGTTTGAGCTTTCACCCAAAACTAAAAAAATAACACAGTGTCAGACYCTCCTCATATCCAGAAAACAGTGGAGTCATATYGTGTATTTAAGTCAGTTTCAGGACCTGTGTGCATATTTTTATGCACACCTTTCARGCAATGTTAGTTTTGAATTGATATATTCCTAWRTCGTGTGCATGGAATCTGGCGCACACAACCTTTACGCACCATTGCTACGCAACATGAAGCCCCGGGCTGCCGCTGACTGAGGATCTGGTTTGCCTTTTTTAATTATAAGTGAGCTTAATCGAATCTGTTTCTGTGTGAGTGTCCGATATACATATGGACACAATTTTATTAAAGCAAAAGTGGAATTTACAAATAAAAGTACTTTCAACCATATTTATCTGGCCCATGGCGCCTGAAGCTATACGCACTGTGCATAGGCCTACCTTGAGATTCTCCTTTGATTTAAAAATATTTTAATATAATTATTTGACTTATATCATTTTATATTTTTTTTATCTTGTCTGCATAAATGAAATCCGTATTATTGCCCTGTTTTCATTTAGGCTAATTGGTTTTACAGTGACAGCAGTGTGTTTTGAATGACAGCTGCCTTCCTCTCTCTCCTCCTCCTCAGGCAGAGACAGAAGAGGCGATCTGAGGCATTAATGTTGCAAGTTACATCCACTGCAAAACATTTGTCATATTTTTATTATTTTCTTTCTTTC